GGAAAACTTGGAGAAAGCTATATTTGGGATCATTTTATTGTGAAAAGGAGATGAAGGAGTTTGCCAAGCAAGAGTACCTGTTTCTTTAGAACATCCGAATGGTTTATCTAGAAAACAATAGCAATTTAATAAATTATTTATTAAAATCTCACAATATACTCCCAGACAAAAAGTTACTTTTATTTCTCAAATATCATTCTAACGGTTGGATCAGAAGGACAATTGATGATGATGTCGACAAAATGAAATATCAAAAAAGGTGTCGATCTACTAATAGGGTGAAAAGAAATGAAAAAAATTTCCCCTATTAGCAAAATTAGCTAGAAAATATCTGTTCCTGCAGAACGGTTATTTAATGATTCCGGAAACCGTATTACGTCAAAGCGTAACAAATTAAAACCTGGCAGAGTAGGAAATTTATTATTAATAAAAGAATAAAAGTATATATAAAGTAAAAAAAGTATTACGATATCCGAATGTACATTTACACAAAATTTTGAATATTCGAACAAGGAGTTAGAGATACGAATAGGAATACCAAAAAACGTTTAACATTTAAGAATACTAATACTAATACCTATTCTAATAAACAATTTTATTTAGTAAATAAAGAAAACGGGGGTTTACTTTTTATTTGTTTGTTTGTTTGTGTAAATTTATTTAATTATTCTCTATGGTGCACATCATCCAAAGTGAACAACACTAAAATTGACGATCCTTGGAAACCAATGACTCTACAAAATTTTACGATAATGAAAAAAGTAAACCCGTTGAATCAGAGCTAAATACCTAGGCTTCATTTCTGTCAATTTACTTTTTTTGTTATTCAAAGCTGAGGTATTTTATATATGCTTGTATGTAAATTTAAAATTTCAGGCAATCTTTTTTATTGACCAATTTACTTTTAATCATTCTGATTTGTCGTAAAATCACGCGATAATATTTTTGGAAACACGATTTTAAAATTTTATTCAATTAAATTCCTTAAAATTATTATATATATTGCATCGAAAATAAAATAAAATTTGTGAATTTAATCCAACTTTATCATATCTTTATAATGGGTCATATTCTAAAGTATAGAAATCAAGAGAGAACTTCTAATTGAATGATAAGGAGAATTAAATAGGTAAATAAAAAACTTGTTATTTTTATCATTTTTTATTATCATTATTAAAAATGAATTTGACAAGATATGTTCTTTGATTTTTATAATTTCGGACTCTGACGCAGTCATTGTCGTCTTTAGATAACGTGCACATATTAAAATTAAAAATTGTCGACAATGATACTTTTATTACTATTATTACTATTTCCGTATTTACACCGTAAAGTCCGGAATATGGCACATCTCCTACTTTGAAACTGTTACACGATTTTAAAAAGGGGGCACATTATTATTTGTGATATTTTTTAATATCATTTTCTAAATAAGAAAGTTGCTATGGTATGTATACTGTAAGAAAAGGCCCATTTATGAATTCAGTTCAAATTTAGACTGCATTTTACCTAAGGGGTAATATTGGTATTGTGTATATAAACTCTAAAATAATCCTTAATTAAAAAAAAAAAAAACAAATTAAAATATAAAAATTCTCTCCAAAGAATTGTTGGCATAAACTTTATAATCACTAACACATTTTATAAAGATGGTGAAAATCATCACCATCTTTATTTTCATCACTTATTATTGTATGACCTTGATCGCGACAGAATTTAGTATGTTTTACTTGTTTATAAAATATGTAGACTAAAATTTAGACCATTTACATGATTACCCGCATTCCATAACTAACAATATCTAATAACTTATTTAAAAAATAGATATAATAATTAACGTACCTCAAAGTCCAGTTTACACTGGTTCAAATATAACAATCACTTGGGGGTTTTCAGGAATACAGGATGAACGTATAGAGTTAGGACTTACAATCGCGCAGCGGATACCTAAAATAATGGCGGTGATAAACCCTGACGTGGATCTTACAAAACAATGTCAAAATTGGGTGGTGGCCACCGTGCCGTCCGGAGTTTATAAACTTTACGCGAGAAATTATTCTAATGTCTTTAAAACTTCGGACCCGTTTTCAATTTATACTATAAGCTCTACTCAAATCAGTCCGAATACACCCACTTCCACAACCACAACCACAATTACGACCACATCCACATCCATATCCACACACACAACTACAAATACACCCAAATCTGATGTAAATACCGAAGAAAACTCAATCCGAAATACTATAATTGGGTCAGTGATTATAGGCATTACAAGTATAGTAGCTGCAGCAATAACCACAAGATATATTGTTTGTAAATGTCGCAGAGAACGAGATCAACATGATGTGGTAGCCCCGTAAAAACCTGATCTGATTTAAAATTCCAGAAATCATATTCATGGAAAAATCACAGAAATATTACAGGGAAAAGACAGACTTTGCCACTGTTACAAATTTGTGGAAATTTTCACGAGTATTCTGGAATTAAAATTCATATAGTGGATTATTTTTTATAGGGCAGTGGTGGAAAAATATCAACCTACCACCATATGTATATTATTTTTTTAGTCATATTTAACGATTAATTATCGGACTTTTTTTAATAAATAGATTATCATAAACCCACACTATTGTTATTGTAATGCTTTTCGTATCAATCATATTAATTCATAAAGGTTGGAACCGATCAAAAAACCTTAACCGGTTAAATATTTAACAAATATTTGTCAAAAATTTAAACGGAAATTAATATTAATCAAACCAACAATTATAATAATAAAATGTGGTTTATATAAAAAATACAATCTCATAAATGTATGTTATTTGATGATGAGTCTATGCAGGTTCCGTATTTTGTACATTTACGCTTCCGTACTAAATTATGCTCTGTACGAAACAAAAAAGGTTAGTGTACGGAATTGAAAAGTGTACATACTAATACTGATCCCCACCAATTACAATCAAATTTTAAAAAATACGAGTCCGTATTCCATACATGCTAATACTAATACTAATTATAATACGAAATCTACGGATCAAAATCAATAGTAATAGTAATAATAATAGTGTACGGAAATACAAAGTGTACAGAATCTTTACTACCCTGTAAAAAATGACACCAGAATATTTTCATTATATCTCCGTAATCATGTTTATCACTCCGTAAATGTTCAGTTTATTTCATAAAAGCAGCAACCAGTGAGTAAGCAATCTGGATTTTTTCCATGATGTCATTTATATTAATATAGGGACATTTGTAGAGATTAAGATTTTTTTTTATGGTTCTGTAATATTATTAACTGATAAACTCGCAAAAAAAAACGGGCCTTTTTATTATTAAATAACCGATAAACTCGCAAATAAAAATGGACACTATTATTATTATTATTAATTAACTAGTCGCGTGACATTTCCCACAGGTTGTAAAAATAGTAAAATTGGCATCATAGTAAACTTTGTGTTTGACGCGTCCAATTGCAAATAGAAATAAATGTAAATAATTATATATTTATAATATTTATACATTTTAAAGTTTTTCTTTTACATTTTATTCTACATAAATAATAACGATTAAAATAATTAGATAATATGGACAAGCAACAATAATATACAAATTGATAAAAAAAGATAAGAGAAATGTAAAGTGATATTTAATAATATTATTAAAATGCATCAACGAATTGTGATTTAAAATGGATATTAAACAATATTATTACATATTAACTATAAATAAGTTTCGAATACGATGTACAATAATTCAGGCTTTCTTTTGAATTTAAGATCACTCAATTCAATCAAGTACTTAGCGAGATACAAAATATATGGAAATAGGTAAAGAAATATTGCATTTTGAATTTTAAATACTTATATGGCATTTTCAAAAAAGAATCATAATCAAATCCGCTTATCATACAACTAGATAAACATTCATCAAGTATATTTTACAAAACTTGTTTCTCATCTAGTGTTAGTTAATTAGTTTTAAAGAGACCCATAAAAAAACAGTTTTATAAACCCAAGTAATGGTAACATGATTTTTTTAAATATTTAATTTGTATCTATTTTTATATTGATATTTTTTATATATATTTAGGAATGCAATAATTAAATTAAGGGGTATTTACATGATTTTTTTTCCCGAATGTTATGGTTAAATGAAATCAGAAAGAATTGTTATGTGACAATATTTATTTATTATTAATAATGATATATTCTTGTAATAACAATTATATAATCATATTTTTAGACCTGGCGGTGTACAATCAGAAAAAATTGTTACGAGATCATATTTTATTTATTAATTAATTATTATAGAAAACAGGTAGAAAATTCAATATCAAAGATCCTAGCTGATATATTCTTGTAATAACAATTACGTGTATACTATCATTCTATTGTTTTCAGATTTCTATATAGTAATAACAATAATTATTATTCCCCGTATTAGAAATTAAATAATTGATTTATATCATTCTTCTTTTTATACGCAGTAATGGTGGGAAAAAATATAATTGGGTTTATCTGGACTTTTTTGACACACATACCTTTTTCTTTTTGCTTTTTAGTAATAGTAAAGTATTTCCTCAGATTTTTAAAAGACTTTTCTGATTTTTTAACAGTGAAAAGGTTATTTATATTTTACATATTTTAACATTCTGCATTATAATAATTTATATCTTTATTTAGTTTATACTGTTTCGAAAACTTTTTAAAAAAAATTTTATTTGCCAGAAGCCGATGTGATTTCATTAAAAAATATACTATATTTAGTATACAATGAAATATTCGTTACACAATTTCCATTTTAGTTTGAATAAAATGGTCTCAATTTCGATTTTCTTTTTTTTCTTTGATAAAATAAATAAATACAAAAAAAATCGTTAAAATAAATAACTCGACAATTATTAACTATAAAGTTTATAATCATTATTTTATTTTATAAATATGATTGATATCACAAAACTCTTGACCTTTATTCTCATCATTGGCTATTATTATATGACCTTTATTACAGCAATTTTTGGTATGTATTACTTATTTACAAGATATGTAGACTAAATTTAAACCATATACATGATTCAAAACTAACCCATAATATTTAATGTTTAATATTTAAAAAATAGATACAACAATTAACGCACCTCAAAATCCTGTTTACACGGTTCCAACATAACAGTCACTTGGGAGGTTTCAGGCATACAAGATCAACAAATAGAGTTAGGGCTTGAAAATGCACAACATCCATATAATAAAATAGCAATAAATCGTGATGTGAATCTTACAACAAAAAGTCAGGATTTGGTGGTGCCTACCGTGCCAAATGGTATTTATCAACTTTACATGAGGGGTCCTAATTTCTTTAGGACTTCGAATCCGTTTTCAATTTATACTACAAGCGCTACTCAAACCGGTATGAATACACCAACACCTAATACACCCAATTCTGGTGGAGGTACTGAAGATAACTCAACTCGAAATACTGTAATTGGGGCAGTGGTTGGAGGTATTTTCAGTGTAATTGCTGCGACAATAGGTGCAGCAATAGCCGCAAACTTTATTCGTTGCAAATGTTGTGGAGATAATTTATCACAAAATGATGATCTCAAAAGTGGTGTAAATGATAGCAGACATAACGGTGGTGATGGTGGTGGGGAAATCTCCCAAGATTCTATTAACAATTTATAGTTTTTTTTTCAATCATATAGATATTATTATTATATGCTACTTCTATTATTATTTTACTAGTATAATTATTATTGATATTATTATTGTTGTTATGATTTATTATATTGTTGTTATTATCCCTTAAACGTACAGGGATTTTTGGTCCAAATTTGTGTAGATCTTCCGAGTAAATTCAATCCCTCTTTAAATTAAAATACTACTAACAAACCCCGAATATTTTTGCATTTTCAATTAACATATATTCTGAAAAAATTATTTTAAAAAAATCGTACATACTGGAATTATATTTAAGATTTTTTATAAATAAAGAAACATTTGTATTTTTTTTAAAAAATTTTTTTTGAAAAGTTCATTATATGGAAAATTTTAATTATTGATACTAGACCTATGGTTCTTTGACATAAATCATGTGATTTGATCTGATTAACAAGTTCCATTAGTAGACTTTGCATACTAGCTAAATAATTTTAGTGAAGGAGATATAGGTTTATATAACTATATCGCAAATTTTTACTATCAAAAAACGTGATCTGCAAGAAAATTTTCATAACAAAAAAATGGGTATTTTTACATTTTACACATATTATTTCCTTACCTGTTATATGTAACCCCAAATAAATTTTTTTAATAGAAGTATGGGGTTTTGAATATCATTTTCTAAATAAGAAAAGTTGTGGTGGTACTCCAGGAAAATGTCTATTTTTTGTAATTTATGATCGCAATTCCAAATTCCGTGCTAATTAGCACGGAATTTCGTTTAAGGGATAAACTAAACAGTCGTGGAGCACTCTATGCAGAATGCTGACCATTTGGTTAATTATCTTTTGGAAATCCTAGTTTAAAACTAATAAAGTGATAATTAATTTATCATTCGAAAACCATTAAAGAAAAGGGAATTTTCTATCTTTAAAGATATTTTTTTGTGACTATTTTATCTTCCATCTAAAATTATGCTTTTCTGGCATTTTTTTTTTTAATTACTTTCGTTGATATATTGTTAGGAGACCATAGCTTTTTTTTATGAGTTAGAATGCAATATTAGTTGTTCTACCTCTATGCGCTCTTTTTTTCTAAATAACACAAGTTGGTTGATGGATAAGTTTGCTTGCCGATGATTTTCTTTATTTTTATTTTAAATCTATGACTCTAATTGTCTCAATGAAATAAGCTTATACTCTTTTAACGGGGCCGTTGGCGCTTTTATCCTTGGACTTTGTGTATAATCTTGAGTTATTTACGATTTGACTTGAATTTTTTATATTCGTTTTTGTTTGGAAAATTTTGTGCTATTTAAGAGATCCAATGATCGTTTTAATAAATAATATCTTTACTACAATTTTAGACACCTCCTCTATTCCTTAATTTGATATATGCGATTCCATTTATATGGAGTGCAGAGGATTTATATTTAATAAATTTCTTTAAAGATGAAAATTTGGAAAAAAAAAAAAAGTAATTCATCTTGGAAAAACAGAGTTATTTTTTCCGTTATAAAAAGTTTCCACGTTACGGCTAATAGTAATAGGGAAAAAGAAATGATCAAGTAAAAGGGAATGTCTTGATCAGCATGTTTTACGTGAAAATATTATTTTGGGTAGGCAAAAAACAAAAATCACAATGCGACAACAACCATAGAAATCGTTGTTACACCAACTGCAACTATCAAAATGCAAGGATTAACTCTCTTAAACGTGCAAATCTAATCAACTTTGCTTTAATTTACAAAATCCACAACTAACATTGATTCAATTTCCAGCACTTGAAAATATTCACAATATCATCATTCATGATATATCAATATATGTATATAATTTGGATAACATTTTAATTAATATATCGGGTAAGTTGGAGACTTAATAAAAGAATTAATTGTGTTTATGAAAAATAGAAAAATAACGTCAATGATTGATTTTATTGGTTATAAGACTGAATATCATTATGAAAACGCTCAAGATGTAAGATTCAAGCAGATTTGGTACAAGGAACGATAAGATATGTGGACATGCCAAATTTGTTTAAAGCATCTCAAGGAAATAAACAGTGGAAATGTATCGTAGACAGAAGTATTTACAGTTGAGAAAGATAGCGAAAAAATTCAAAACAATATTATATTATATATATATATATATCCATTCACTTCATAATGGATGGAGAATATTCAGGATGCGAAATCATTTACTCGAAACGAATAATCGAAACCGATGATTTAGATCAAACGTACCCTATAATATATAGAGGCATGTTTATGGGTTTCATGAAGGGATCATCTACAGCCTTTATTAACGGTTCGTAATACTTAAATTTTCGAAACAACAAACAATAAAACAAAAATATGATTATGACGATAATCATTCCAAAATAGTATTAGTATAGTTATTCACATGTGATTCAATGTTTCACGTATGTTTATATGTTTTAGGCTTGGCTTTTGACATAATTTAGGCTGCATGCATGATATTAATATTATATTACATTGTTCAGTACTTTTTATCATAGAACAATTATTAAAAATTTTTAAATTTTTCAAAAAAAAATATATTTAAGCAAGTAAAATAAAATGTTAATTGAAAAAGTTTTAGAAAACCCGAAACCATAAAGTTTTTATACATAATCTTCAGAACCTAAGCTATAAACTGATATATATATATATGTATATATATATATATTTGTAGTTAGCGCATTTAAGGCATCTAATACTTTTTTGAATTGGAGGAAAACATTACCAGCAGAAAAACAAAAATACTAGTGAATTGATGCAACTTATGGTTGACAAAAAAAGATGTGAATTAGCTTTACAAAGAACCAGGTTATCAAGTTTATTTAATTATGTCGAGTTAAGGGTTTGCAATTTATAAATATGTGTGCTAGTGATGGGGAATTTTTGTACTTATGGATCATCTAAAAGAAAGTAATATATCCAGATCCCATTAATCTGTACATCGTAAAGAAAAACTACGAGGCGAACATAAATTTATACTAAATATCAAAAAGTGCTCCGTTCTTTAAAATTAGGTTTTTCATCAAAAAATGCTTACAAAAAGAGAGTTTACATAATTGAGCGAGACCTTCCAAGCTCTTTCCAAATAAGAACCAGACATATTTTTAATGCTCAACTCAAATTAATGGACGGTGGATCGATAAATACTAGCAGATGCCTCAAAAAGAATGCTCGTATCGATAAGAGAGTCTTTTAAAAGCTTGGTTGAATCCAAAGACAAATAAATAATCAATGGGAAAAAAGGGAATAGTGAAATAATACTTTATGAGAAGAATTCAAAGGAAATTCAAAATGAAATCAACAAGAAAAGACGAAAGCAAAAAAAAACAAGAAGGCTACGAGAGCTTTATTAAGCAAATGAAGGAAAGAAATGAAGAAATGAGCTAATTGCAGCCGAGCAAAATATTTAAATTACAGAAAATAATCTTGGACATGAAAAAACTATTTAGAAACTAACAAAGCAAGCATTATTCAAAATCTGCACAGAGGCTCAATCTCAAATATTAGAAAGCCAAATTCAAAAATCATAAATAAACTTTCAGGGAGCCATTGTGGCATTTAACCTTTACAATTCATTATGACCCTAATAATATACGATAACACACTGAAGTATTTTTATTCTAAATAAAGACTTGGTAGATTGTTGATGACTTTTTTCATAGATTTAAGTTATTGAAAACTAAAAAAAAAATATTTTTGAAGCCACAAAAGATATTAAATTTAAAAGCCTTATCAGTTGTCCTTTTTTCAAAAATATACAATACATGCACACATATTAATTATAGTCACGCACGGCTTAGGAATTTGAGCATGTGTTACTTGATATTTAATATGATGATCAGTTCCAATGTTAAATCAATGATAAAGTAAATTTAATAAGAGCTTCTTCATTAGTATTAGCAATTCATAAAAAGTCATAGTTGTAAAAAAAAATTTGTCATGTTTAATTAAAAATTTTTTATACAACTTTAATTTGAATTAGCCAATTATAAATTTAATATTGTTTCCCTTTTCTCATGCTTGCTGCAATTGTAATAGTATGAATACCTCTTTTAACTTGAATTGAAATTATATCCTTTTATGTATTAGTATAGTATTGGATTGGTTAACTTTGTTTATTTGTCACACAAAAGAATAATTTTCTTAAATTTTTTACTTCACACAAATTTATAAATTATTTTCTCGATATTTTTAATATATGCATGTGTAATTTGTATGTACATTATTATTTATTATTATTATTATTAAATATTATTGTTGTTGGTAAATTGATTAATTAATAGGTTAAATTTTTTTTTTTTCATCCTTTTTTAATTTAATTTTTAAAATTTAAAAAATATGAAAAACATTCAATCAGAAGAAGAAAAAACCATCGAAATTGTTGATGATGATAATAATAGTCAATTACAACTAGATGAAGAAGATGATGAAGAAGAAAATGTGGAAGTAGCGTCATTAGAGAGAAGAGAAGAAGGCAGTGTAGAGGCAAGAAGGAGAAGTAGAAATAGTAAAATCGGAAAAAGGCAAAGTAATAATAGTAGTATTTCTTCTACCACTTCATCCCAAATGATAAGGAAGAATTTTGAAGTTTCAATTACAGAGGACAAAGATATTATAAGTGCTAACAATCATGACAACATTAATGATAGTAACAATGATATTAGTATCAATAATAGTAATAATAGTAGTAGCGTTAATATTAGTAGCAACAGTATTAAAAGTAATAATAATAATAACATTATAATAATTCAAAAACAACAAGAAACAACAATATCATCAATACCAATAACAGATGATAATTTGACTACAGCAACAATCATCACGTCAGAAATTAGTAGTAGTAGTAAAGGTAGGAATGGCGAGGAAAGTGGTGGTAATTTAATGACCAGGAAATTAACAAAGAAATTAAATTCACCAAAAAAGTCAACATTTACAAACACGAATAACAAGATGACGACCGAACCAAATAATAATACCTTGATTATAAATAATAATAATAATAATAATAATAATAATAATAATAATAATGGTAATATTATCAATGACAATATTTACAATAGTAATAATAAAAAACCAGCATCAATATCATCATCAATATCATCAACAACATCTACATTAATAATAAAGCCAAAAAAAATTATAAAGATCGAAAGGGACTATACCAATGGAGAATCATGTCAATTCAATAATAATCTTCCTAAAGAAATCAACGAAAGGGTAAAATTATTCATGCATAATATTTATACATGTATGCAATATATACATATATTAATATACTTATGCTATATATTTTCGTGTTACTAGATAAGTCCAATAAGATTTAAAGAAACAATTAACAGGTTGAATGAATTATTAGAGAAAGCGAATAATCCCAAATATGCTGTAATTGGCAATATTCTTGAATGCTTAACAATATACACTTCAACATTTTGTTTGAGATCAAATTATGACAAGGTAAATAAATATATGCGTATGTATAGAAATGCGTCCAATTAAATATAATTATCATCATCTAATCACTATTTTCTGATTATTTATAAGATGATCGAGGAGGTCTGTCTATTTTTAGACGATGAGAATATAAATTATTATAATCGATTGGGTTTAAACTTTAGAGATCCGTGTAAAAATGCATTTTTATATGTATCCTTTTTTTTTATTCTCTATAAAAAATGAAGAAAGAACTGAATAATTGAAAATTATTATTAATTATTATTAATTAATTAAGTTTATATTATTATTATCCTTAACTTGATTTACGCTTATTCCTACTAATAATGTTCATTTTAACAGCTCAAATTAGAAATATATTAATATATTTTTAATTTTAATTTAATCCAATTGTTTTGATTTAATTTTAATTTTTACTTTTGTATATTAGCAATCATTCAATAACCAATCAATATATAACAAAATAATTAATACTTAACAACAATGTTAAAAAAAAATGTTATTATTCATTAAATAATTGTAAAAACATATAAACAAATCATCAGCATTAACAACAAAACATAGATTTGATTTTTTTTTTCTTTTTTCATCTATATAATAATATATTTATTTACTTAAAATATTAATTTTCTAGATCAATTAAATTTCTATTTTTGGTCTACAAACATGTATTTTGAAAATCAAAAAAGTGATTTTTAATAATTAGTTTTGTGTCACAAATTTTTATTACGCAATTAAATTAAAAATCTTACCTATACCCAAGTAAGTAAAGTCATACGTAAACAGCCAGCCTGTAATAAGTGTAGGCCCCAACGTTGCGAGCGTGTTTCCGTAATATGTATTTATTGGTTCCTATCAATGGCGGAACTGCATGATGCACATATAAAAGTCCAATATTTTTGCTAGATACATCCACTACTTTCACATGTTTTACTAGTATATTCTCGGTGCAGGTGACTGGCTACCTTTCACCAAGGATTCTCGCGAGATTGATTTATTGTAAAAAAGACTTTTAAATCGATAATGTGGCCAAATCAACATTTGTCGAGAAGTAAAAACCCAAATTATGGTTTTTATAAAAGTTTGCACTTTCTTTTTAAAACCTTATCTGGCAAAAAGGGAATGTGAATTATAAATTACAAGGTGTTGGACTAGTCTTTTTAAAGAGTGTCCAATTGACCTGAACATAATGTTTTACTAGTAGCATTTAAAGTAAACCAATGCCATTTCACATAGTTCTTTTTAATATAAATTTAATCCTGAAACTTGAATTTGTTTTGTGTCGAAAATTCCTCATGAAATTTTGATTACTTTAGTAAGGATTTACATTGTTGGTTATTAAAACTATAAAATTAGCAAATAAACAAATTCCTTGTAGGGGTTGCTGTACGTACATCGGTTTTTCGCTGATCGTAGCAGTAAAAAAAAAAGTAAACAAGCAAAATTTAATAAAAATTTTTTTTTTAAATTAATTAATTAATTTACTTTTTCGGTAATTTTTTTTTTTGATTGTTTTCCTAAATAGAATTCAAAAAAACAATGGACATTAAAAAAAATATTTCTTATAAAATGGCATCCAAATTCTTTCACTATTTACTAACAAATTTAATAAAATAAATAATTAACCAAAAGTTATTATTAAATAATTATTCATTCTTTTTCTTTCCTTCCTTTCCTTATTTTTATCTCCTTTGGTGGTGTACGGTATCTATACACAATCCACAATTTATTTGACAAATATTAAAGGCGCTGGTCGGCTTCTTATTCAACATTATTCTTGTGGTTTATTATCCTATATACATTAATTTAACATATAGTTATCGTCACCATCATAAATCACCATACACACCATCCACTCCTCTTGCCATATTATATATTATATTATATATAATTGCCTACATTCTTTATTTCTCCCTTTCAATCTATCATTTTCTCTTTTTCCACACTCTCCAACTAGCCTATTTACCTACTTTCTCCTCTTTAAAACCAATTGTCAATAAAAAATGACTACATTTACATTTTTTATCTTAATCGCTCTCATTTTTATTAACGTGTCATCATTCTATTATACACACGCTTCCCCAATTCATCATTATAAACGTGGAAATAACAAAACCAATAAAAACAACAATAACAAATTCAAACCAACCGCCAACAATGACACGTCATCTCAATTACCCGTAAGCGATAATGATGTCGCTGAATTCCGACTTTGGACAAAATTCGCAAAGTAATTAATAAAATACTTCTGATGTAATAATAAATACATAAAGAACTTCTTCTTTACTTATATATATTATGCGCTTTATTTATTTGTTTAGTGCCGCATACTGTGATGTAACTGACTGGAAATGCGGTGCAGCTTGCGAAACTGAGGAAACTAAAGATACCAGGCTCATCAAGTTCTTTCAAAACAGTGTGCCAAGAGATAATAACGCTTATGGTAATTATTATAATGATTTAAATTTATACTTGTGGGCGAAACTCAAATTTGGTTTGTCGAAAATCAGTCTAACAAACAAGTGATATCATGGCTTTTCCGCTCATGAAGTAACCTATCGATAACTATACCAAATTTGATTAGTTCACCCACAAGTATTATTCAATTATTATCCGATTAATTAATAATTTACATTACAAACAATTTAGTTGCGATTAACGATAAAGAAAAGGCAATCGTAGTTGCTTTTAGAGGTACAGCAAATGTAAAAAGCTTCCTTAATGATCTCGAGTTTCTTCAAGTTCCATTTTTTGACAAATCTAACAATGCAAAGGTAAAAAGAAGGATTATTTATTAATCGTTAGTTATCAAACATTTTGAGTTAATAATATTAATAATATTAATTAAAAAATTTAATTTTTTTTTTCATAATTTAAATAAATTTCGACTGATAAAATAATAGGTTCATTCTGGGTTAGTAATGGAGTTTATAAATAATTGTATTTTTTGAAAAAACAAATTTTATTTTCTAATTTTCTAATTCATTAAATTATACATTATATTATTAGATTTCTTGCTACATATAACGACACAAGAACAGAAATAACAAATTTAGTAAAAAAATTGGTCGCTGAAAATCCCGATTACAAAGTTGTTACCACTGGCCATAGCTTAGGTGGATGTGAGTAGCACATTATATTATTATTCATATTATTACTATTATCAATATTTTAAAATACAATTTACTTATATATATATATATCAATCAATCCATTAATTCACATCCATCAATCCATTTATTAAATAATAGCATTAGCAGTTTTCCAAACCCTTGATTTAATCGGAGTACCAGGTTTAAATCCATCAAACTTGTTAACTTATACATATGGTGAACCAAGAACAGGAGATAAAAATTTCGCTGCTTTGGTTGAAAAAACCGGCTTTAGTTTTTTCAGAGTTGTAAATAAAGCTGACCTAGTTCCACACGTGCCACCTCAAGCATTTAAATACCAACATCATGGTGCGCAATTTTGGATTAGACCGTAAGTATAATGGAGTGACTGTGGTTATAAATATATTTGTTTGATATTTTTATATATTTTTATTAATTATCTTATATTTATTTATGTAGTGATAATAACAAAATTGTCAAGTGTCAAGATCCCGAGGATAAAACTTGCGCAAATTCTCAGAAACTTCCAAATATTAACTTGATTAACCATGCAAAATATTTTGATACAGTTTTCTTATTGACTTGTCTCAAAAAATAATCATATTTAATAATAATTTAATTTGGTTTTGTTCTTTTTAATTGGTTATATTAGATGTAAATTTTATGTATTTATATTTATTGTTATAATATATATATACTGTATTCTTTGTTCATATACGGACCTCAAATTTATGTTCACTTTGTTTGATCTAATTGCAATGTTAATTATAATTAATACCACTGAATGTTTTATTTGACCTTCCTTTTTTTTTCTCTGGGATAAAGGAGTTGGATGAACTGTAATATAATAATAATACATGAACTTACACTTGTATAAAAAAAATATTCCCTGCTAACCTCTTTAACGAAAATTCGTTTTACTCTACTATCTGGCTTTGGGTTGAAGACCATGATGTAAATAATGTGATTTTATTGACTTTCGTAGCTGAATCAGGATTACACCTATCCTTCCCGACGTCCTTATTCTCAAAGCAAAAAAGAAAACAAACGCTAAATGCACTATTTTGGACAAAAAAGTTTTCGAGTACAGACACAATATTATAATAAACTTTTTGCTTTAAAATTCAATAATCAATTTATATTTTAAAATACATGCGAAAAAAAGTTCTTCCGCTACTAAAATAGATACATAAATATGTTCTTTAATATTTGTTTCATAAAATAAAAAAACATTATTTTATAATACTAAAGTATAGTTATACAAAGTCATCATTTTTCCTCGCCAATTCAAATTTATAATTTAAATCATCATATCATAACATTGTATTCACCATTTTATTTTTTATCAATAATTTGAAAAACTTCTAATTCATCAATTTTACTATTATTTACTATATTAATGTTATTATAAGTCCCTGGGCTACTATAAATATCTTTTTCGTAATTAAACCAAACATCATGACCAGCACCAAACCTAGGTAAAAAAAAAGGATGACAACAAATTGCGCTTTTATAATCATCATTGATAACATAACTAAATTGTGCAGTATTGATATCTTTTCTATTACTTATATTAAATATAAAACTTTCAGTTGTATTTTTATATATAAAACTTACAGCTTCATGTTTACGTATACTTCCTCCATTCCAATTAAGTGGATTATAACCACCAACTATTTGCTCTGAATTTTGTATTTTCCCAACTACAAGAGTTTTGTCAACATCATTACATTTCCGATGGAATGCAGAAGCATTTAAACCATCCCTGCTGCTACAATATAGAAGTTTAAATCCATATTTGACTTCCTTGAGTGAGGTATATGGTGGACTTTTTCTATCGATCCAACTTGCAAAAAGTAATGTAAGTTTATGATTGATTGTCAATGATTCAAGTGTTGATTTCAATTTTAAAATTCTTGATGGTAATAAATTTAATGTTTGTTGTCTATCAGGAAATATATAATATTGTGAAAGAGGTTTCCATAAAGTTCTAGGAAGAAGCATATGATATGGTTCAATCTTATCAAAAAAATCCTCTTTAGAAATATCCTGAAATCTTATTAGAGAAAAGAAATCTTTTAATGTGTTGCCTAAATCAGCAAAATTTTGTAATGACCAATCTTCAACATTGATATTAATGATTTCTGGATGTTTTGCCAACCCCCATTTAAGAACATTTTCCCAAATAATCATCTCATCAACAGAAAAATCTTCTCTTTTGAGAATTTCTAAAAAAACTGGTTTTTCCAATGATTCAAATTCATTTGATTCAAATAATTTTTCACTATAGTCACAAAACTTTTCAAAATAGATATTTTTCAATTCATCTAATCTTTCATTGGCATAGATCAATTGTAAAATTTTAACTGAATTTTCTTTTATATAATCTTCATAGTTTTCAATAAAATACTTCATTGTATATTCATAAAGTGACTCAATGCCAAGTTCATCCGCTGAAATTAATATTTCCAACACTTCATCCCCAGAATAATTTTCAAATTCAAATTTACATGTGTATAAAAATCTACAAAATAAATAAATTATTATTATTCGATAATAATAATAATAAACAAGCAAAATAAATTTATTTTAAACTTACTTAAGAATAGGCTTGAAAAGTTTTTCACTAATATTAGCTTTCTTAATAATATAGTAACCGTTTTCTTTTGTTGCATTACTTAATTCATTGCCAAAAGATGGACAATGAGCTGATACAATAGATGCATGTGCATGAACTTCTTTAATGTTTGGCTCTACTCCAACATATATCTTTACATCATAAAAATCTTCAGTATTTAATAATCTTTCATTTTCATTGAAATATTTTTCAAATATTGAATTCATTTTTTTTTTACTTTTTTTTTTATTTAAAATGAAAATGAATGGTCAATCACATGTTACAATTAATAAAAAGGGCATTTTGTGTGATACAGTGCAGAACAGTTAAATTCGAAAAAATCTTTGATCAATTAATTTTATTTCCTCTTGTGCGTGTAATAATTGAATCTTGGGGTACGAACAACAAATGCAAGGTTTAACACATGAGCACCACATCTGAGATGCATAAAATTCTTATTGTCATATTTTGAATTAAATAATTAAGTGTTCTGCTAAATTAACCATATTTGACCCATTGGTCATTGCCAAAACTTCTTGCCAAAACGAAAGTATCTAAAATTTTATTTGCTAAACAGACCCCAGTGTGGTTTTCATTAAGAGGTAAAATTAATTAATATTTTTTTCACTCTCCAATTATCATCAATTCAATGAGCTGTAATGCCTAGACACACTTAATTTGTAGTTGTTGAGTTGTTGAAGTCCAGGCATTTGTTGTGAAAAATCACTAAACATTTTTTTAATAACAATTTTTTTGTTTTTTAAAAACTGATTCAATCCAATTTGAAACCGTTCGACTTATGATGTGAATCAAGTTCAGGTACCAAATAAATGAAACATTTACACCGTTGAGAGTTATTTATTCATTTGTAAGTAACAACGATAGTAATCGATTAATCAATTATTGAGCTAAAGCAAAAACAACTTAGTAATGAAATTTTTTTGACATTTGTTCGTTGGGTGATTTATGACAAGATTTTAGAAACTTTGAAGCTTTGGATTTATAAAAACAATAAACGCCAGCAATTTCTGCATTTTTTAAGGATCTGTTAAAGCCAATTATTTCTATAGTGTTTTCTATAATGGAAATCATTATTTTAGTACTTTGATATTGGCATGGATGAATATATGATTTTATATTGCCAGAACCATATTAGTTTATTGGATAAGACAAAAGGATAAACGAAACCATCAAAATAATGATTTTTAGAAAAGAAGAAACGGTCCACACAGATAATTTAATTAATCTTTTTTGAGGGAGGAGGATACAGTATTTAATGTTAGTAATAGTAAATTGGTCTTCTAATATTTATTTGTTAAAGTAATTAATATGGTGCTTTATTAACATATTTCCTTTATCTAAATATTTTACAACAATCACATATTCATAAAACTATTTTGCTATTCTTGTTATTTTATTGTTTCTATCATTAATTC